CCTCTCTCTCCCTCTCTCTCTCCCCCCAGCCAGTGCACATGCCCTAAGGAAAAAAACCTCTGGGGAGAAAAAAAAAAAAAAAGAAATGATGGGGGGAAGGGGGAAGAGACAATACAGTATTTACTTTTAGACTTTGAGATAAATTGTAGTTGTACTACTTATAAATGAGTACAGTCTTGAAGCAATCTCTAAAATTCAAAAATAGCTAAGCTGTAAAGACACATTTGTCTACGACACATTTGTCTAAGATTTGTGCGAACTTGTTTGTTCTTTTGCTCTAGAACTTCCAGGGCAATGAAGCCATGTTTGAAGCAGTTGAACAGCAGGACATGGATGCTGTGCAGATCTTGCTGTATCAGTATACACCAGAAGAACTAGATCTCAACACACCTAACAGTGAGGGGTTGACACCCCTGGATATTGCCATCATGACCAACAATGTGCCCATTGCTAGGATCCTCCTGAAAACAGGGGCCCAAGAAAGTCCACACTGTAAGTAAACCTAAGAAAAAAACATATACTATTAAAGCTAGATTTTATGTTTATGCCGCCAAAATAGTCATTGCTGACCTTCAGAGCAGGAATTTTTGACAAAGCATAGATTCTGAAATCCTTACATGTTTTTGTGGAATTTCATGAAAATAGTAACAGTGTTTATCAGTCCAAGAATCAAGGTGCATTTTAAATAGAATATGCTGGGGCCAGCAGGTGGTGTGGTGGTTAAAGTGCTAAATTCCCACATGGCCAACCATGGTTTGAGTCCTGAACCTGGAGGCTTTAAAATCACACCAGGCTTTTGTGTGTGTGTGTGTGTGTGTGTATGTGTGTGTACATGCCCAAAATCCCAAGAGGAGAATAGAGGAGAAGAAACTATAGCATGGCCATCCCCCTGGGGGATGAAATCTCTCTCTCTCTCTCTCCCCCTCCTCCCTGGCAAGCAAACATGCCCTGTGGCAAAAACCTACAAAAAAAGAATATGATGAATAGTATTGAAAAGGGGCCCCCTGAGAATTTCCCCCCAAGCTGTAGTATATGTGAAATACTCCAAGTGAGAACATAAAGTCAGAAGTATACACAGAAAAGGAAATGGCACGTGTGTTTTTGTATCTACACTCGATGTGGTGGCTGCAGTCATTCATTCATTCACTCATTCATTTCATTCAACAAACAGTGCAAAACACTGTTCTAGTGCAAGGAAAGAAGTGGTGAACAAGACAAAATCCTTATTCTCATGGAATTTACATACAGGGAAGATGAAGACTTTCGATAAGCAAATAAATATTAGGTCATTGGAAAAGTTATGACATATTTTTCTATGCAAAAATGCATCATGATTTTTCCAGTGATCCAATGGGTTAATTAAAATATAAACTCAAAAAGTGATAAAGACTGTGAAGAAAATAAAGCACATGTGTGGTTAGAGACTGATGGGAAAAAGACTATTTTAAGTAGGGTTGTGTAAGAAAAGCCTCTCTGATGCGCAATATTGAGTTGAATCCTAGATGACATGAAGGAATGAGCCATGAGAGGCCATGGAGGTCAAAGTCTCAGCAGAGTGAATGGCAAATAGAAAGGTACTGAGGCAGAAGGAATGAGGTTGACATATCTGAAAAGCAAGAAGGACAATGTGGCTAAAACAAAATAGCAAAAGGGAGAGTGATGGGTAAGGAAGAAGTCACTGGGGTCAGATTATGCAGGGCCTTGTATCCATAGTAAGATGCTTAACCCTGCTGCGTGTGCTAGAAAGGCAGTGGAACAGTTTAGGCAGGTGGATGGCATGCTGCTTTACATTAAAAATTCACTGCAGTGTGGCGACCAGCAGATGGCGTGGTGGTTAAGGCACTGGACACTCCCACATGGCTGACCGTAGTTCTGAGTCCTGGACCTGGTGGCTTGCTTTCTCACTTTCCCTCTCTCTCTCTCTGTCTCTCCCTGGTCAAATTAAAATAAATGAGTGAATAAATAAAATTAAATTTTAAAAAATTCTTAAAAAAAATTCACTGCAGGGGTCAGACATAAAATGTGATACTTTGTGAAGCCAACGTACATGGGAAGGTTCCAGGTTTACATCCAGTCCTAGTCCTGGACCCAGTGGCTTAAACTCACGCCAGGCATGTGTGCATGCATGCCCAAGATCCCAAGAGGAGAATGGGATTGCAGTATGGCCATCCCCCCTGGGGGTTGATTTCTTGCTTTCTGTCTCTGTCTCTCTCTATCTATCTTTCTGGCAAGCACACAAGCCCTATAGCAAAAACGTCTCAAAAAGAAAAGAAAAGTCATGTTGCATTTTTGCATAGGAAAATATAGAAAAATATGTCATGACTTTTCTGATGATCCAATGTATATATACAGGTTATATATATATATATATATATAATATATATATATATA